GGAAGTGACCCACATTTGGGGAGAGGAAAGATGGGGGGGCAAGCCCTATTCCCCTAACCGGCACCCCCACATCCCCCCCTGGGCGGCCCGCTGATTGGTTCATTACCCATAGTAAACACGTCTACTACCCCCCACCCTGGTACACACACACACACACACACATACACACACATACACACCCTGCCCCCCTTCATGTCGATCATCCTGCCCTGGTAAAGACCAATGGCCAGATTCCTTCAATGCCCTCATAACTCCACACTCTCCATCTGCTGGAATTCAAACTGAAGGACGGAGAAATGACTCTTTTATTTGGCTGAGAGATTCCAAAACCTTTTCACAGACATAGAAAAACTTATCTACAGAAGCACTTTATCAATCTTAATCAAGTTTTACAGATTATTTTTCATTGATTAGATTCTTCTGCCATTAATTACATAAAAAAAAAACAGGTTAAAAGATCATTTTGCTTTTTCTTTGGTCAGTTTAGGTATACTACTGCAAATACCATCCACAAAATCCACTGCATAATCTACACCATGATATAAAAACGCATAACCTTACATACATAGCTCCACATTTGGTCTGCAAGCTCTCAGACACCGAACCAACCAAAGAAGATGGCGGTTTGGATGTGCACTTAAAGGGTAACTTCGGTATTTTTCAACCTGGACCCTATTTCACCTTGTTTTTTTGTCTAAGTGTGAAAGAGAGCAACAATTTTTGGAACTGATCCAGTACTGAGCAAGAGGACGGCAGACAACAGTGACAAAATAGGCTGCAACGTAACCACTTGGGGCATGTTTACACCGCCAGTTTATGTTTTATGTTATTATTTTAAGTATCTGACAACATTATGGAAAGGACTCCTTACAGAGAAAGACCTTTTTAATAAAGAGTAACATCCTTTTTGTTTGACCAGAAACAGCCCCGAAATCACCATCGCCAAACCCACCAGACTCCATTTACAAAAATAGTAACTTTATCACCATGAAACACACTCAAATTCAAAGTCAACAGAAGCTAAATAAAACTCACAAAATCCATCTTGGTTTGTCTTTCTACTGCTCCAACATTCACCAACTCTGGTTTGATTGAAATAAACCTTTAATTTACCCAGTTAAATGTGAAAATATGCTGCCTCTATACATGCTACAGTTGCTGTTTTTTTAAATGAGGTCTGGCATGTTTGGCGATGGCAATTTTGGGGCTGTTTGTGGTTAAACAAAAAGGTTTTAAATCTTTAGTAAAAGGGTCTATCTCTGTGGGGATCCTTTCCGTAAGATGTCAGACACTTACAATAACAATCTGAAGCCCCTTTTACACTGCCAGACTTTCCGCAAATGTTGGGCTGTTTTGCCGGCAAGCTGCGAGTGTTTAGACACACCGGATTGGCGAGTTTATCCGAGGTGCCCAATTTTCTGCCTCGTAGGTTAGACATATTGGCGGAACCTTTTTAGTTTAAAAAGACCGAGAGGGGCTGTTGATGACTTGTGGGAGGAGCTGTTGATGACGCCGCACGTGTGAGCCACTGGCGGTGGATAAACAGGAAACAGCTGATAGCAGGAATTAGCGAGCAGCTAGTAGCAAGAGGGAAATGCAAACCTGACAGACACTGTAAAGATGAGCAACTGGGGAAACAAAGAATTGCGCGCCCTCCTTGTCCTCACAAACAAAGAGGCCATTAACCGTCAGATGACAGGGACGGTGAAAAATGGGTCGACTTACCAGAGAATCGCCGAAGGACTGACCAGCCGCGGCTTCCCTCCCACGTCACTGTTTACGTCACACGCTGAGCTACACGTTTTGTTACTTGCTCACGCCCCCCATTGCCCCGAAAAAGGCACATTCTGTATAAACAAAAGTAGGTAGGCGGCATTTTGCTGCACTCCCCAATTTTGTTTTTATACTGCCAATGCTGAAAAAACACTGATTGGGCTTTCCTGCAAATTTGCACAATTCCTGTTTAAAAAGGGATTGAGCCTGTCAGCGGCAACACAAGCTCTTTCCGGTGATGTAAATTGACAGCGAATAAATGCCCTGAGTGGTTACAGTTGCAGCCTGTTGCACCAATGTGCTGTTACCCTTAAATTTAGCAGGGTTTTTGGCTTTGCATGTTTCTTTTTGGAGATTTTAGTAAGAAATTATTGCATCGTTTCAGTGTCTTGTTGAGTCTGGATTTCATATACATTAAACAAATACAACAGGATCTTAACAAATTTTGTATGTGTATGTTTTTTGTCATGCACCACTTCTATATGAGTTACTGGTAACATTGTCTGTGTTGGTGTATCTGTTATTTTCTCAATAAAAAACAACAGAAGATGGTATGTCAGATATATTAAAGGTGTTAAACATCCTTGGGCCAATGTGTTAACTGAGCTTGGATGTTTTCCTGCCCCCCATTAGCAGACAGGTGTATTTTATACCTGCAGGCGCTCTGACACCTCACCCAAAGGTGGTCTACTTTCACTTCAGATCAACACCAGGAGCCGTATTCATTCGGACACTTATGCAGAGGTGGGAGTCGTACTGTTAAAACACATGTATCTCAAGTTGTTGTTTGAGGCTGCATCCTGCCAGCTCCAAATGGAAAGACCCTCTTTGATGCGCTGCACTTTCATTGCCTCCCCTCCAGGGATTTCGACGAACGCTGTCTGAAGGTTAAAGTTTGGGCTGTGTTCCATACTAGATGGTTTACCTTTACCATCTGATGTCTGTGCCTCTCTGCTCTCCATTGGCTGTCACTTTGAGTTACTGCTGCTTCGCTGGGTGGCTGGCCATTGTCCCCAGGCGGCGGTGCTGCTGGCTGCTTCGCGCTCAGATGGAAGAGAGGAGCGACATGCTGCCATTAGATCGGCTGTGGAGCCTTGCAATTGGCTCAACAGGAAACAAAAGAATAAATCACACAAGGCAACATACAAAGGAATGAATATTGTGATAAATAGAAGAGATGAAAGAGAATAAAACAATAAAGTGGTAAAAATCAATACAAAAAGTTCAAACACAACAGGTTAAAAATAAAAATAATGCAAGCTCAAACCTTTAACTACACTTTACACATACAAAACAGTCATAAAAATAAGTTGTCCTTGCATACACATCTTGCAAGGTAGCAATATGACATCATCGGTAACCCAGAGATCCACAGACAAAGGGACGTCAAACTGGATCATTTTCAATAAGCGGAGATGTTCAGTAAAGATGCATGTTAAGCCTTTTTCAGACTGTCTCACATCATGTCCATCATAAAGGAACATTAAAGCTGCACATGTGCATGTTTCAAGAGCTCAAGGGTATAATTTTCCACATGGCCTTTGTGAACCCATCATCTCACACACCATCTGTGTGTCTGCCTCAGTCTTTGGCGCCCCCAAGTGTCCACAGAAAACAGCACATAATTATAACGATGAAATAAATATGTGATGGGTGCGTTACGTTTTAATTTAATGTTAAGTTATGGGACAGCATGCATCAATACTTGCAAAATGAGAGTCATGTCTACACATTTAAACATACATTCTTGTTTGGTTCATTAACCATTTGACAGTTTCTGTTATGGTTCTTTCCAGCTGAGCTTATTGAGTGTTCCTGAAGTTGGTGGAACAAGATATTAATTAATACATATAGTCATTGCAGCAGTCTCCAACCTTTTTGTCTGACATACAAATACAGAAACCCTTCATCAAACCACCAGTCATGCTCCAAGTGTGTTGTTTTTAATGGGTTTAAACTGGATATTATTTTACACCATCACTTATATAAACACGTATGTACATTTTACACAATGCAGAGTAATCGACAATGTTTATGTTTGGTCTCTTTTTCAGTAGTTTTCTGTATATTTTCTATTTGTTCTACAACCACTTAACAGTAGCAGAGGTTTCAACTATTAATTTAAACTTTCTGCTCTCTTTCTAACTAGTTTTAACCCACTCTCAAAGATTTTTTATTATTTTTTTTCTGAGCAACTTCACAACTGTGGGGGGCAATCTTTTAAATGACTACAAATTCAAAAGTCTACAAAAACGACCCAGGATTATTATTAAAATGGCTGGTTACTGTGATCATATTAATTCGGGTTTTAAATTGCCAATGCATGAAATTTAGTGATTTGGTATATTATTTAAAAAAAAAAAATGCAATTAATGTTCAAAGCAAAAACAAAGTCATCCTGTGTATAAACTTTTTTTTATTTATTTTTTATTTTATTATTTTGTATTTTTATTAATTTTATTTTTTATTTTTTAAGGAAAGGAGATGAATGAGAGGTACCGCTCAAAAAGAGCTTGAAGGGAGATTAATTTCTATTGTCAGGCTTAAATTGTGTTAAGTTAAATTGTGGGACAATCATTCAAAATTATTTTGGGTTTTCAAAAGACTGGTTTACAACACTTTATTTTTTATTTTTTATTTTTTTTTTACAAGTGTGAGTGATTTTTTATGAGGTAGCTTAAATTGATAAGAATGTAGGAGAGGCACATATAAGCTTTTGCCTCTGCCTGAACCTTTTCAGTCACTACTCAATACAAAAAATGTTTGTAATGTTTTCACTTACTGTGTTATGTGTGATGACTGAAATGAAACACCACTACAACTACAGTCTTTCCATCCATGTCACCCTGTCAGCTGCAGATTGAAGTCCTGTACTCTTTATTGTGTCCAGGTTTGGCTTTAAATGATGTTAAACACACCAGGGCTTAGTGGCTAAAACGCAATTTTCTACCCCTTATATGAAGGCTTATGTTGTCAGAGCTACTGTACCTTCACATATATTGACTCAGTAAATGCACATACCCATGAACACATCACCAGCATTTGGATTTAGCTTCGTCTACAGAGCGAATATTATCTGGTGTACAGACTCAAAGACCGAGCAATAACAGCCAGAAGAGCAACGTAAAAGCGATGCACTGCATTAATTATATTTAATTTATATTAAACCACATTTTTCTTCATTATCCAAAGATAACACCTGGGACTGTGAACGCACCTACACGGTCACGTGACACAGACACGACCGCAGCCTCTCTGTCTGAGACCCAAAAGCAGTTTTATGTAGACACTAATGATGGATAGTGGCGACAAGCAAAGTGCTGTTATTTGCAAGTTGTGCGGAGAGGCATTCACCCTGCCTGGTAAGATGTTTGTATCCACTTTATGACGGTGTTACGCTCCTTCATACTATGTTTAATGAGACATGAAGTTAGCTAGCTAAGTTAGCTAGTTAGCTAAAAGACGTCATGTCTGCTATGAAGCAAGCTAGTGGCAGCGGCTAACGGTGGCTGATTTAAAAAGCAGGTGTATTAGCAGGTTCTTTAAATTCTTTAAAAGTAATATAATTATCTGAACCCAAGACTCAATATGTGATAAATACAACTAATGATATAATTCACTGATTTCCCATGGTGGCTAGAAGTTGTTTCTTCTGGGGTATGTTATAATAAGCTAACCGAAGTTAGCTTCCATTGCAGGAAGGACCTCAAGTGTCGCGCCAAGATGGCGGACTTGATTACAATACTATTGCAATTAGGAGACACTCAAGGTGAACAGGGTACACCTTTCAGCTAATATGTATCACCAGAAACGTCCTAAGTTGATCATTTATATTAAGACAATTATTTTTTTCGTACACCTTTCTGAAATGTTATGGTTAAAGTCAAATATGCAAATGAGATCGATCCGAAATCTGAACAAAAATAACCATCTAACTTTCTTTTGGACATTTTCTTTACACTAGTGTAAAAGAAGACATGTTGTGGAGACAAAATAGCCCCAAATCTCAAAACTGCATGAAAAAATAAAACGTTTTTTATCTGGGGTATTTTCCCTCAAATGCATTAAGATACAGTGCAACAGAAGAATGGGGGGAATAGACAGTTGTTATAATATGTTGACTCACTCCATGATTATTTTGAAGCAGATAGAGGGTGAGAAAATTCATGAAAAGTTTAATGAATTAACCATCAGACTTGGTCATTAACATGTAAGGGCAGGCCAAAATCTCAAGGCACACCTGTAATTATATCTGTGCACAGTTGCACAACATAAGTGTTTGTTTTTATTTACTAATATCAGATCACACTTGAGGACCAGCTGTTACTCATGAAATATTTAGTAACAAAATGAGTCAAGAATTCATTTTAAACTCTTTAAATTACATCAAAGCACCAATAACACATCAATTTAAATGGGAAATAATGCAAGATCATGTAGGATAACATAATGTGTCTCACACTTACAATTCTCTCACATCAGCAACAAATAGGTGCCCTGTTAAGGACATTTAAGGCAGAGTTTGCCTCTTTATAAGAAAATAGGTGTGCACTACATACTGATAAGTCAATTAAAAATTCATTTGTACCTTTTAGTATACGCCCAATTGAATATTGCAATAATAATAATGTGTGGTTATCACAAAATCCCACAGCCCACCTAGATTTGCATCATGGCAAACCAGTGTGCCGATGCACACCATTTGAGAACCGCCAATGTTAACCCCACCACCCATCCCTGCTGGCATTTTTAACAGCAATACTGTTTTTAATGAACTTGTAAATTTGCTTTAAATAATAAGGTTGTTAAAAAATATGTTGTTTATTTCCAGTCTTCAAGCCCAATAAATGCATGTTGTTTGAATACAGAAGAAGCATGTTAATGTCAACATTTTGAGTTGATGCCATTATGTTAAATTAGTAATTCACGTAACTATGGTTGAATGATAACAGTAGATGGGTGCCTCTGGTTCTGTGAAAACACATTGAGTCAGTAGAACAGCTGAATTGTATAGAGTCAGGTTTGAATAAATACATATCAGATTTTAACAAATTTACCTACTATAATGCAGTAAATGACTGACAACACATGGTTTATACTGAATATAATAAAGGTCTTCATGCATCTGGGAGCAGAGACCACACACCTGAATTAAGAACCAGTTTAGTAACTTTTTACAACCGTATAACCGAGTGAACAAGGTAAATTAACATGGAGTTACTGTAGCGACCACAAATGACAAAACATGGGATGTACTGGTGGAAATAAACAAACCAGCATTTTGGTGACACAACTTTTTTTGACACACTGACACAGTTAAAATGAGTAAGCTTAATGTTTTAAATGATGAACAAACTATCTGTTTATCACCGTTGGTTATATGACAACCTTAACTCCACATCATCTAACAGTTGATGTGACAGTGTCAGTCTCCTTATCTGGGCAGGAATCCATAATGTGGGTTATCACTGTTCTTTTAAAGTAAATGGGGTGATAAAGTGATTACACTTGGATAACAGGAATGTGCATGATATCCTCTTACACAGACATTGCATTATTTCTACTTGTCTTTAATTTTTTCTTTCTCAGAGGATGACGTCGATGGTAACCTCCCTCGTGTGCTTTTATGTGCCCACATCTACTGCACGTCCTGCCTGCTGTCCATTCAATCTGATGGTGTCATTAAATGTCCAGAGTGTGAGGTAAAATTACTATTGATCTCACTCTTGCAACTAGAAAGAGGCACAATTCAAATAATGACCAAAACAGATTTGATAGATTCCCACTCATTTCTTTATTTGAGGGCTTTCCTTGTGAAAAGAAAATTTGTGAAAAGAAACACAAACTACAAGCAGTTATATTGTGAATTCTGGCCTCTTCTTCTAACAATCTGACTGTTGTAACTAGATATTAGTGATGATAAATTATTTGATTCATGCACATTTAAAAAATTGTCAAATAGAGGAAGCAAATAAATGGCACTTTTGTACTGTCCAGCTAATCCTGGCCCAGTGGTCAGCTTTGTCCACAGTGCAGATGTTAAACACAAGAGATAGTTCTCAACGGGCCGAAAAAAAGACAACCCGAGCTGAATCAACCTACCATTTATTTCAACCTGTCTCCTATCGTCCTAAATTTGTTTCAAGTGACTAGTGACATAAAAATAATAGTTAGCATGTTAGCCGTTAGCCTAGATAAAGCCGGGGCGCATAGTAGCGTCAGACCTGTTAAAACGTAAGTGAACGGGCAACCTTCAAGTGCAAAGTTAGTCCACTAAACAAGCTTTTTTTCCACAAAGGCCGCCTCATATCTTTAGGATAAATGTCAGAGAACATATAGAAAACGACATGTAAACATGTTGTCTTACCTTACCGGTGTGCTGCCGTGTTTGTTTACCATTTAGCTCTGCTTTCCAAAGCGCGGCCGAAATATCGCGAGAACAAGCAGCAACAGCTGGAAAGCAGAACCGGACAGTAGCCTGAAAAGTTCATTCATTTATTTTATGAAAGATTTATAGAATAATGGCTGACTTTTTGCCAGACTTCGACTTTGTGGAGGAGGAATTTGATTTTGCAGAGTTTGATGGCCGCCCTTATTTATTTGAGCCAGAATACACTGACGAAGAGCTTCGTGAAATTGAAGGACGGAGGAGGAGGAGAGAGAGAGGCGCAACAGGTAGAGGATGAGAGAGGAGGAATGGCTGCTGCAAGGCTGCGTAGCTTTGGAGATTGGTGGTGTACCTGTGAATGCTGTGCCCCAGTGCCCACAGAAGAGGAATGCCTCTGTTGCAAGGAATGGGACCGGTTGCAGCCTTATTTTCAAGGTCTGGATGTGACCAAGGACGAGACACCTCCACCTGCAGTAGTATCCAGCTGGGCTTTATCTAGAGCTCGCGAGATATATTTCGGCCGTGCTTTGGAAAGCAGAGCTAGATGGTAAACAAACATGGCAGCACACCGGTAAGGTAAGACAACACGTTTACATGTTGTTTTCTATATGTTCTCTGACATTTATCCTAATGATATGAGGCGGCCTTTGTGGGAAAAAAGCTTGTTTAGTGGACTAACTTTAAACTTGAAGTGTGCCCTGTCACTTAGGTTTTAACAGGTCTGACGCTACTATGCACCCCGGCTGTATCTAGGCTAACGGCTAACATGCTAAGTATTATTTTTATGTCACTAGTCACTTGAAACAAATTTAAGACGGTAGGAGACAGGTTGAAATAAACCGAAATTTCCCTTTAATTTGATCTTGCTTTGCCTGTTGAATTTGTGATTTGCATCAAGTTCTATGCTGCAGATAGTCAGGTGGTAGGATGACAATGAAACAACTAAGCTAACTCTGCAGGTTGAGTCGACCCTTCCTGAAGGCGGGGTGTATGGCCTGCAGGATGATAGCAGAATCATTGGCCTCATCTACACTTCGAAAATGAACAAGATGAAAAGGTAAAGTGCAGTTTTGAATGTCAAGCTGAACCACACCACTGACACACTTGTAATTCAACATTTCTTTTTGAACAACCTTGGCCTCCTTGTATAATCAGATTCTACAATAGTTTTTCAAAGAGAATGGGTTTTAACTTTGATAATTGCTTTGTTGTTGTGATCTCGTAAAGGTGTGAAAGACCAAGGAATTACAAAAGGTTCAATCGTTCACCAACCACAGGCACGAACGAGGAGTGGGAGCAGGTATGTTTGGATGAACACAAGAGATGCTGGTGGGGAATGAAAGTTGTCACGTCAGCTCCTGCTGTTAAGGTGTTTTCACTCTGGTCTCCTTCAGCCCTCCAAACAAACTCAGTGCCATTAGTTAGCATTTTTTAGGTATATGTGGAAATGTACTAAGACCACCTAGTTTCAGTATGGTTCGCTTCATGTCTACGTTGCAGTTGGCTTAACATGTGCATTGTGAACACAGAGTGCTCCAGGTTTGCCTTTCCCTTTGCCACTGTATTGTAGCCCTCCAGATCTCATGCTATTGTACTAGGATGCTCAAAAAAACAACAGTTAGATGGAGCCACATTCACTTGTAATGCTAGCAAGAAGAAGGACAAAATAGATATGGAACGAAGAACACATCAAACGGTGATTGTCCACGACACACAGCAAAGTTTTCCTCCAATTTTCAGTCCAGTTGACAGTGAGACATTTAATTAGGACTTCACAGCAGTGCTGCATCAAAGTTAAAATAACTACCTAAAAAAACTTAACTCTCTTTCACACTTTAAAATGTCTTGAATTTGCATAAAGTACAATATTAAGCAGCAAACCAAAGCAGTAACAGTCTGAGCTCCAAGATATGTGAAAACACCCTTTATGTTTTGCACATTTCAAATTACACAACAATGGGAAATACCCTATAATGTGGATTTTTCTGATTTAGAAACAGCTCTTGCAAATCTTATAGAAGAAGTGCCCTATGTGTGTTGGGTGCGAGATGTTGCCGTAGTGAAAGTTTCAGGATCACAGTCCGATAAGAAGGGAGAATAGACAGAATAATTAATGCAGTGACTTAACCCATCAATTTTGCTGTGATCTGTTGTGATTAATTTACCAACTCCTCTCTTGTTGTCATGTGCTTTCAGTATAGGGATGTTAATAATTAACCATTAACCAGCAATAAGAATTTTGACTGATTTATACCATCTGTTAAACAGTTAAAAATATACACTGAATATCAAGAAGCTAATGACCCAGAGGCAGAGGTGGACGCTTATATGAGAGCAGCCAGTTCAATGTCTGCCTAGTCACCAGATGCTGAAACAGTGTCCACACTATTACACAAAAAAGAAGTCTGCCATCGTCATACACCAGCTCAACTGACAGTTAATGGTTAACAATCAGATCGGTCACACAGAAAGTGCTACATTAACATTCACATATCAGTACTGACCAAGAATAACGTTACGTATATATATATATATATATGTGGCAAATATGTGCCTGGTAGTAACTAACAGTTTAGAGAAGTCTAATGAAATATTAAAAGTAGCCCACTGATGTGTATAGAGATGTCTCTTGAGTGACTTTCCTTTGAGAGATTGTGCACTTACTCAGCTGTGAATTCACCCCAGGGGCAGACCCAGTGCACCCTGCAAGATTTATACATCCTGGCTCTCCTGGGGATGCCTTGGGTTCCCCAGAGGAGTTACACTCTCTTAATAGATAAAGTCTGTGTTTGACTGAAGTGTAGTAGTGTTGCAGAAGGTCTGATAAGAGTTCCAGCTGCACATTATGACTCAGTGACATAAATTTGTCATCTGCCCTACATAAACATAGCTAACTGAAAGGGGAGGTTGTAGTGGCTAAAATGTACATAACATACATTATTCACATTAAAATGTTTAAAATTCTGTGTTTTATTCAGTCAGCTAATATCGAGAAGATTGAGAGGGCGGTGGATGAGGCGTTGGCCCGGGCTGCAGAAAATCTTGCCCTTCTGGAACACATCCATGAGGTGAAAGCTGCACAAGATCAAAAAACTGCACACACCTTGTAGAGCTCTATTATTTATTTTTACATCACAAGGGAAAAAGTGAGTGTTGCTGGAGTGTTCCATGTCTGAGTTTGATCTCCGCAGACGCTGGCGAATGGTCTGGCCAAGCAGGTGAGGCGAGAGAGAGCTCGGCTGGAGATGGAGATCATGCAAGCTGCAGACAATGCTTTACATGCTATTCAAAAGTGGTATGGGTATAAACTCTTCTCCTCTGGAAAAATGTCATATCTATTCACATGAAGCATGGATACATACATGTCTTTTTTTTCTCTTCAGATTGTTCTAATTTCCTTGAAAATCAAACAGAAATAAAATCTTAAAAGGTGACGTTTATTTTGATGCCTGTGATTCCTTCGTCAACAGGAAGGATATGCAGATGAGTCAATTGACCAAACTGGAGGCACGGTTCTCCACCAGCCACATTGAGCTGTGCCGTGTCCAGGAGAGGATGAAGGCCCTGGAGACAGCCATGCAAATGGCCAGGGAAGTACGCCGTGTCCCCTTCCTGGAGCAGTACTGCACCCTGGATAAGGTTTGAAATGTTATGCTTCTTTACTTCCTGACAGGTACTTCTAAATATGCACAATGCACAGTCAGGTGCTACAAAACTACTACTTAATAAATGCTGGTAAACTTGGGCTTCAGCTTTTACTTGTATTTTCCATCAGTTTTCCCTTTTAAGAAATGAAGTCAGGCAAAATGATGCTATGATTTAGTACTAAAATACTGTGGCTGCTTTTTATTATGCTGCTTGTGTGTTGGTGATAGGTTCTGGAGACGTTGCAGGCTCCTGTGGATAACCAGTCCTTTGATATGAAGTGCATCACCATGGGCTCTGGAATTAGGTTTGTCACTTTAAGTCTAATGTCTTAATCATTTTTTACCTCACCAAAATCAAAGCACATTGAGTGTGCATTGATTTGGGTCTTACCTAAGACAACAGACTTATGCTCATTTTGTGCTGGCATTGTGTTTTCTCCATTTCAGTAGTTGTATGATGTTAGGATTTATATTACAATAATATTTTAATAATTCAAAAAATACATATGTATATTTAATTATTTTTGAATCAGGTTGGCTGGACAGAAAGTGACAAAGTTCTGAGTAACATAATGTCAGTAGGTTAACGTACAGAGACCGTAAACTTGAAAAGTCAAAATAGTGGAAAATCCCTTGTTCTCTATTGTTACTCAACATGTAATCACTTGGAAACCGTAGTCTGGTATGTCCTGCCAGCTCAGCATAATATTGATTTCAAACGATTGCCAAACTAGTTCACAAGACTGCGAGTAAGGATATGTTTTATAATATACAGCCAGATCCTTGCTATGCAACTGTTTAAAAAACAAAGCAAGAGTATTTTCCACAGACATTTAATTATTTACATATCATTATTTATTTCCAAATGTAAACGGCCCTGTGCTCGAATTCCAGCACAGTGCTGCAGAACTTTAAGTCCTGTGTAGATGCAGAAGGCCTGACAAACAGAAGTGACAGGCTTTGCTTTTGAATTTGTGCATATGTGTTTGTGTTCCAGCTGTGTTTTCCTGCCAGAAAGCCTGAGCACAGGTCTGGCCTTGTCTTTGAAGATGGAAGCCGGCGACCCAAAGCAGTGAGTCCTTCCATTATGTCATTTAAGATTGAGTTGGCAAAAGCCTTTATTTCTTATTCTAGAATGTCATAACACAGCCAGTTTCATGTTTTTAACTCGTGTGGCATCGTCATCTTGCTGTTCTCTTTCAGCTTGTCTGAGTCTCAACCTAAAGGCTGCCAGCCAGTCAGCTACACCAGAAAGGCTCCCTGGCAAAGTGCAGAGGGCAGGAACAGAAACTTTACCTCATCCAGTCCAAAAAAGCTGCCCAGCCCCAAAAAAACGGACCAGGAGAGTCCGAGAGCTAACAGGCCATCGTCACGAAGCTTCTCTCCGAGCCCCAGACTTCGTCGCAGGTTCAGCCGTCCCCACCAAAGCCCGCCCTCAGATCCTGGAACTCCAGACGTAATTGTTGAGGAGCTTTACGACGAGGGACGAGAGAATGGTGTGTTTGAGATTGATTTTAAAAAATATCCAGTCAGAGCATAGGGTGGGGGATAGATCGATTCTACTCGATGTATTGCAGTTTGCTCCGAAAAACTATATCATGAACATCTAAATGGGCACGTTATTTTTTTAAGCCACCTGCTTACTTTGGCATTTCGGTTGTCTTGCTCTCTCCAATGCATGGCTCTCTCCCTCTCACAGACACAAAAATAGTCTCACACACTCCTCCACCCATCCAGACCACTTTATGGTGTGTGAGCAGGTGAGGTGTGTTCTCCTCTGCAGGGCTCCAGACCACTATTTAATCACATTTTGCGACTGTTAGCACCCCTACAACTTACAGATATCAATATATTAACTGGAGTGCTGTTGATTTGTTTCCAGCTTACAGTAAATAAATCATCTCATTCAACAGTGCCACGGTAACAGTTTAATTTAATGAGATGAGGACAGGAAGCGTGTGTCTTTGTACCTGCAGGGCTCCTGACTGCGAAAATAGATACATGCGCTTCAATCATAAGCGCCACTGCTCACACACTTCCATGTGTCCTTCGTGATGGCATAGATACGGCCAATAGTTGGCACTACAGGGCAGAGTCAAAAAAGTCACTCAACAACTAAAGAGGTGACGGTGGAGGAGATCGACATACTCTACCTTTAAAAGGAGGCAGTGTTGTAGATGATGTTGGTCTGTGCAGCCTTTATGTACATCCAGACGTGGAAGGAGAATCCTTTTCTTTATATTACCGTTTCGTTCAGTTCCACCGCTATTTAAATTTCTTCACCATCTCCTACGAGGATATCTTTCTTGAACGACGCTACACTGCCTCCACACTCTCTGGCGTTACCGTTCCATTTCATCCGTATCCATAAGCTTTCAGAAAACGTGCACAGAAACAGACGAAATAAATGCAGAGTATGGACAGAAAGCTCTGTCCTTGTCTGTCTCCGTCTCTGTATTCAATGCTGAGCTTAAATGAACCCTTAGTGACATTTTGTGAGCATGGAGCACCAGTGCGACCTGCAGATACTATAAATGTATGATCTGAAGAGCTGTTGGTGTGTTTCCAGCTCACAGTAAATAAATCCTTGTGTTTAACGGTGCAGTTTAACTTTGTGCTAACTGCTAACTATTAGTTCACAGCAAAAACATCAACACTTCCAGACGGAGACGAGCCAGGTGCTTCAGAATAAAAGCACAGTGGTTCCGCTTTGATTTATTTAGTTATAACAATACTTTATTTAACTTTTATAACAGTACTTTAGAGGAGATTTCAAAATGTCACGATGTATATTGTGTATCACGATAAAGCCTAAAAATATTGCAATATTATTTTTAAGCAGTATCATCCAGCTCTAGTCAGAACATAAAACCACTTATGATGGAGGCAGAAAAGAAGCTTCAATGTATTTTGATAAATGCTTTGTATCTTTCTGCAGCTCCACCACCCACCGGCCCTGAGCTGGCCAATGACAAGTGGAGAGTCCACAAGAGAAAGAAAAGTCAGCCGTCTGGCAGTAGCAGAATCGGGAGAGAGAGTCAACTGTGTAATCAACAGAAGAACAAAGGTGATTAAATTAGTAGGCAAAAAAATGTATATAAATCCATGTGTAGTCCATGTATAGATTCTCTCTCTTTCTCTTCCCATCTTTCTATTCACTTGTTCCCCCTTGTACCCCAACGACCACCTCTCCCTCCCTTTCTCATTCTCCTTGCTCCCGTCTCCTAGTCACCAAGTGGGTGGTGGTATCCCACATTGTGAATCCAAGTCACTTCTACGTGCGCTACTTGAATGAGGAAAAGGAAAGTGAGAGCCTGTCTGAGATGATCAACAACTTCTGCAGTGGAGATAATTGTTGCTTCACTTCCAGTGACACAGTGGAGACCGGTATGTGCATGTGTCCACAACAACTGGGGAGAAATGAACAGCTGAGTAAATTAAGCGAAATGTTTATAGGTGCTGTATCGAGCTTGCTTTGTCCAGGGCTCCCATGAAATCCATGGGAAAAATCTGAAATTAGAAACTTTTCCAGGCCTGGAAATGGTTTGGAATTAAGAGAATATTTTAGAAAAGTTCTGAATTCACATTGTTTTGGCTATCGTGTAGAATATGTTCATAAAATTCCCAAAACATATCTAAGGTTACACGAAACACGTTCCTTTGTATTGTTAATTTAAAATCTGGTGCTGCGCGGAGTGACCGGTGAAACATCACTGACATCCTGTGATACACAGACCAGACCGGCAGCATCTCATTGGCAAGACCTCGCCTCCTTTTGGGGGAAAGAATCATGCACATCAGGGGAGAAAGAGGAAAATGCTGTTGTTGTGTTGTGTGGCAGGTTAACTGACACTTTCACACTGAGATCGGAGCCTCATAAGATCCATGAATGTTGAATGTCAGTGTAGTAAACTGCTAAATGATGCTGGTGACAGTGACTACTGATGGAGAGCTTGAGTGGGAAACGATGGGTTGTTTAAAGAGATATAAATGCTTACAAACTTGTCAAAATTATAATCCAGACATAAATCAAATTGCATTGACATCTATCCCCCAAAAAAAGGGATGCGCCCTTAAAGTTTTGCGAAGGACCTGTATGTGCCAGTCTGGTTTGTGGCATAAGCGCTCAGTGTGCTTATTTGCAAATGCCTGAAGTGCGTGTTCAGTAATGTGTGGATGTATTACTACATAGTCCTATATGTTTTAAACTACTTAAAGTCATAAAATTAGGTGAAATGCTATGGAAAAGTTTTGAAAATTCACCGGTAAAAATGTGTGGGAACCCTGTTTTTAATTGTTGGTAGGCAACCACCGAACTCACTGATCTGTGCCTTAAAGTCTGCATAAAAAATGGACAGGCGGAGGGCACTTGATCTGGCTTTGGTTAAGGGTAAGAGGCTGTTTCCATATACGTTGGTCACAGGGAAACGAAGATCTAACTGTGTACATGAGACCCTCAGAAAGAGGAGAAATTACAAGGAGTGACACCAGCTGGTCCACGACCTTCACCTGGATGAGGAATGGTTATAGGCTTATTTAAGGATTTGTCTGGGACAGTTAACAATCTGCTGTCAGTCATAGGGCTAAAGTACTTGAGGCTACAATTTGGAACACAAGCCATGAGCTGTACGCTGCGACTTGTCACCGCCACCAGAGAGGGTCCGTCCCTCAATGGGAAAAGCACACAGTGATTATGTCAGGTTCTTTTCCACTTTGAGTTGAGGCTTTGTCAGCTTGAGGCCATTAGGGCACTCCTGCAAAAATACAGGGTGCTTTACGATGCAGAGGCAGCGAGCAAAACGCTTCACTTTCATTGAAAACAATTAGAAAAATCCACCCCAGGACTGATTAGGGCCTTAACTGATTGATAACGCCCAAGTTGACTAATTGCTGCTGTCTTTATGTTATACATAAACACGCACAATAATAATTTAGTTTCTTCTTTGTGATAATTCATTAACAGATAACATTATTCCTCTCTTTTGTGTTCACTTTCATTAAGTTTGAGTTTCCCACTATAAGTTCACCACTCATCCTCTCGGAGTGGAGGGAAACAGTGCTCATGTGATTCAGCCTTTGTCTGCCTGCTCCTCTCCAGACTCCACGATCTTTGTTCAGAGAGAGGAGGGACTCTGGGATCGAGCCACTGTGGATGAAGTCATACAGAGTGGATGTGTGGAGTCTGTGAAGGCCTGCCCTGTCATACAGCTGGCCAGTATCCAAGTCTTCCTCATTGACCATGGCATCACCAAAAAACTCACCATACAGAGGTACGCAGACATAAATGGACAGAAGGAGTTCATATCTGTGTTTCCAACTGACTGAAAATGGGCTGTCAGAGTCAGAACACTAGTTCCCCTTTTTAACCAACATGGAACCAGTTCCATGTCAGTTCTTGCACCGAATTTTAAATTATATAGAGCATTTTGACCAAAACTTGATTAAAGCTGGTTGACAATCGGCAAAGTACCCTTTAAAGGGACCTTTTTTGAATGACTTGATAGTGAATGTTTTTCTTAATCATTCAGTAATTATTCTCGCACATCCTCTACTCTTGTTTCACATCTTTCTCAGTGAGGAAGGAACAACAAAGTCTTCACTGAAGGCAGTGAACAACCACCTGAGGAAGGTGGGTGCGGCGGAGAAGGTGGAGCTGAGTCGCTTTGCTCCTCTGGCTATCAGATGTTCACTCAAGGACCTGGTCCCCTATAATCTAGTAAGACCACTGAGGTTGAGGTTGAGGTTGGCTCTCCAGTTTCAAACACAACAAACATTTCAGAGAGCACATCAACAAAAGCAATATCTGTTTTATGTTATGTATTCAAAGACAGAAAACACAACATCTGTGTGTGTGTGTGTGTGTGTGTGTGTGTTCAGGCAACAGGCTGGAGTACAAAGGCACAGGTTGAATTCCAGAGTGTGGTTGGCTCTGCATCTGTGGAGTTGCGGATTTTGGGCCAGGACAGAGACTCCCTATTGGTGGACCTGAGGAAAGCTCCCGTGGACCAACTCAGTGATGTGCCCATCTCTGTCAGAGAGTACCTTGTTTTCATTGAAGTGGCCAGGTACGCATGTGCAAGTCACCAGGAAACATTCTGATTATCAAATTAGTATTAACTTGATGTGATATATATGTTATTTTGGCTGTGCTCTTCCAAAATTGCTCCTAGGTTTTACTCTCCAGTGAAGTGGGGCAGGAGGCCCCTGCAGTACTACCCCCCAGAGTATCCCAGGATCAAGAAAGAGCTCATTGCTGTGGTGTCGCACATCAACGACCCGGCTGACTTCTACATCAAGCTGGTACTAAATATACACATAAATAAACACATGCATTGTTTATATGATATGAGAAAGAAAACATGAGCTTTAAAGAGAAGATAGAGCAGTTATTAAGGTTGGCATTGTCCTAAATAGAAGTACAACTTTTCCCTTTTTACTGCCACTACATTTCTTCTCCACTCCCCCAACAGGTTGATAACATGGAGGCCTTGTTGCTCTCAGCCAAGCTCCAGGATTGTTACAATGGGAATAATGAAGATGGCCTCAAAATCTACTGCCCTGTGTTAGAACAGGCCTGTGTCGCCCGTTTCGAGGACAAGTGGTACAGAGCTCAGGTCATAGGTGAGGGCGTGTGTGTGCAAGTTATCCCTGTAGTTTGGCGGTTTGCAGGTAGCACTGGTTAGTTTTACATCCTCTGGTGGCCAGCTGATGGTAATGAATTAAACCAAAATCTAAAGAGTACCAATAAAAGAAGCGATAACGTCGGAGCTTATCAATACTACGGGCTTTGAAAATTTAGCCCGGTGAGGGAATAAAGCACGGGAGCAGCAATACATCGTGTGCGACAAATCCTGATTTCTTATGTCACAAACTAACCAGAAGTAGAGTTCACTAAATAATTGTGATGTGTGTGTGTGTGTGTGTGTGTGTGTGTGTGTGTGTGTGTTTTAAGGTCATCCAGGGGGCAGAAAAGTGGAGGTGCGGTATGTCGACTTCGGCAATAGTAAAAGCTTGTCAGTCGGAGACTTGAGGAAGATTAAGGATGAGTTCTTTGCCCTTCCCGCCATGGTGAGAGCAGAGCTTTTTAATGGTCGACTGAAACTTATTCTTTACTTTTGTAATAAGAGAACATAATCTACATTGACGGTAAACTGGCCTTCTAGATCTTATATAGAAAATCTTGTTTTTTTTGTTTAGTTCAATTTTGTTCTTTGATTTAATTTCTGAAAGAAATTAAGTGACATTAAAATTGGAGACTACTTCCTGTTCAGTTTTCCTCCAAACATTTTAACATTATATTTGTTCAATTACACAAACAATATACATGATAGGTTTGTTTTATTTACTTACATTTTTAGTACTTTACACACACTTGAAAACTGCTGGGTTAAGTCAACAGGAAGTGTCTCTTCTTCTCTCCAGGCAATCCATTGCTGTTTGTCAGATGTGACTCCCGTGAATGGAAAGACCTGGAGTGATGCCTGCACCGACAGATTCATCAGCCTGGCTGACCAGAAACTGGTCACTGTTGTGGCTACAGGTACTGTGTGTCTGGGACATTGAAGTAGTAACATGAAGTATCTGTGTGTTTCTGATTCCTTAGTGTGTGTCGGTGTTGGATGCTAAGCCTGTATTTTTGATATTGAACTCGTTCGTCAGCAAAACCCATTTTGTGGTCTTTGTGTTTTTTCACCATTTGTATTTTCTCCCCTGTACCCATCCAGAAAGAGTCCCCAGGAGCGAACCTCTGCCAGTCAAGCTGTTCGAGAGCGGCCTGAACGGGCCACAAGCCAACATAGCTGAGCTGCTGGTGAAAGAGGAACTGGCTTCCTTCAAAAAGGGGTGAGACTTACACAGTAATATCCAAGAGTTAATGTGGGAAAAGAGGCAACATAAATTATGTAATTTAAGAAACTAGAATAGATTTTACACTGTTGTCTCAGTCAGCTGTGACGAACCACGAAGGTTAGTAGTTAGTACAGAGGGAAAAATGAACCCAAGGGGCTGTTTGCCCAAACAGGGCTTAAGCCGGGTCCAAAGCTAAGTTGGTCATAACTTGGCGTTCTAAGTCCGACCACATAGCACCATGTAGGTTTAAGCATTCTTCTCGCAAAGACTTGCCGTAAATCTTATGCCTCTGCCATTTCTATACAGAATATCTGCAACCTGATACACAAGAGCCACAAACTTTGAACTAAAAGCCACATTAGCTTTCCTGCTTAAGTATCCTTTTTGCCGGCCTTTTGCCGGCCGGCTTGTCAGTGTTGCCAGACCTTGGGAGAGAAACAAGCAACCAGGGCTATAGAAACAAGCCCAAAAGAAACGATTGCAGTCTGACATACTATCATGCATTTTTAAATAACTTATTAGACGGATATATATATATATAGAGAAAAGTGACGTTTAGAGAGCAAGCCCAAATAAGCAACTCCACTGTAGAAACAAGGCCAAAGTCGCGGCTAATAAGCGGACCTGGCAAGTGGCAACCCTGGGGCTTGTCCTTCTCACATTTCTTCTGTCCTCCTGCGTACTGACGTGGAACGTATCCCGCTTCTCATTGGCTGCTCTTTGTCAGTCGTGTCAGACTTCTCCAGTTTTCTAGCATGCCAGATATCCAGTCCCAGTCACAGACGAGGGGGCGACTTGCTTGTAGGCTTGTTCACACATGAGGACTCGTCGTGGCAGACTATCTGCCGACTCACCTCCGACCCAAGGTGGCTCTCAAGATCATCTGCGACGTCAAAACCGCAGTGAAAATCGTGTAATGTGAACTAGGCTTAAGCAAGACAGAGGAAAATGGTTACCGGTGTATCGTAGCAATGCATGTGCTGCTTAGTAATAGTGATAGTGGCATGGACATTCACATGAACATATATCGCTAGGACCAGTTGAAAATAGGCTTAAATTTGGTTGGTGCAACCAACGTAAAGTCCATTCTAAAGACTATTCTAACAAAGAGCGACTGAGCAGTTGGACCAGGCTTAGTAAAGACCAGTTGGTGCAGTCCGCTCCTGACTGGTAACTCTGTCTGCAGACAGTCAGTGTTGGGGTATTGGTGTCAAAACCGTATCAAGTCTACCTTAATTTAGGTTTGTCGTAGTTCATCTTGTGCTTTGTTTACTTCTTTATTGCATCACATTGTTATCTTCGTTCTTTCTTTTTTTCCTCTTACACTCTTTGCTTCCAATTCTTTCTGTCCCTTGTCTTCTGTGTTGCACATTTTCTCAATTTCACGTCTTTTTGTTGTGTCACACCCCCTCCACTATCTGCTACAATTCCTCCTGCAGACTTAAGTCCAAGGACACCAGGCCCTCTGCCAACGATTCTGCGATATGGGACCCTCCAATTGAGCTTGTTTTGGCCACAGAAAATGTTGATAACCCGGACCAAAAAACCCTCACGGAGCAGACTGAGGAGCAGCTGGAGTTTGAGCCTCAGCTGAAGTTACCTGATCAACTCAAAGATCTGAAAGTCAGAGTCAGCCACGTCAACTCGCCAAGCAGCTTCTACATCCAGCTCACGCAGTACGACTCTCAGCTCAAAAGGTCAGCAGTTAAAACGCCGATTTAAAACCCGTTACATAAACTAAACATTGGTACAGCAAAGTCATTTTTCTTCAGCCAACATCTGCTGTTACCAGCTTCTAAAATGTAAAGATTTGCTTATCCTCTCTTTCTATATATTGTTGTAAATTAAATGTCTCTAAGTGTTTGCAGTGCTAGTATGCTTGCTGTGTTTTCCAGGATATGTGAGCTGGTGAAGAAGGAGTGTGCATTCATGGAGCGCCAGGATGTGGTGTGGAAGGCGGACATGTACTGTGCTGCTCTCATTAATGGGGTTTGGGAGAGAGGACAGATCTGCTGTGATGTCACATCGAACAACATTGCAGAGGTAAATAAAGAATAAATAAATAAATAAAAGGGAGCGGCTGTAGGGTAGTGTTTGTCTTCTCTTGCATTGTTTTTAAAGCCATTTTACCGCAACACCATACCCACCAATGGGAGCGTTTATTGTTCCAGTTTGGTGCAGTGCATTCTGGTAGTTGTAGGTTTTCTACCTCTTGAGCAAAAGCAAATGCCACAGCACTCTTCCTCTTTTTCTGTTGTCATGTGGCACCAGTTTTTCCAGCAGTGAAATACTTCTTTAAACCTTGTGTGAATTGACAACAGTGACTGTGTCTCCCTTTCCCTCTGCTGGCTGGTACCAGGTGATGCGCTGTGACCATGGCAACACGGTGAAGCTCGAAGTCAGCAACCTGCGGCCTTTGCCGTCCTCCTTGAGGGGCTCTCTGGCACTGGAGTGCACTCTGACCAACATCAGGTTACACACACTGTATTTAGTCATGCACCTAGATGCATACAGTATGTATCCATCCAAAATAAACACACATCCTCAGCGTATGGCTGGAATAGTTGTACCACCCATTTTTAGCACTGTGGGATAAACAGTACATCATCACTGTCTAATGTTTAAAACACACTGTCGTAACAGTGATTTAAATGCAGTACATAGTGCTGGAACAGCAACTCTTTTGTCTAGTTGTAAAGTATGGCTGCTTTCTTATGATAGATGCTTTACAAATGTGTACTTCCTGGTTTCCATCACTTTCTTCCTCTTTAATTGTTCACTGTTCATCACCTTGACTTCTTCCTCACTCTCCTTTCTGTCTCTCAGGCCAGCAGGAGGCCGATCCACCTGGACTGCGACAGCGTGTGAATCGTTCTCCTACTACCTGACCGGAGCTTCAGCTGTTGTGACCATCAAGGTGTTCCTCTGCTCATGCCTCCATTTCTTTTTCCATTTGCTGCAAAGCTTCCTTTATCTTCATAGTAAATTGTTAAGATGAATAAGTTCTTCAAATCAGTTGCTTCAGAGATGCTCTATTTATACTATTATTATTAGTTACTTGAAGCAACGTTATGCAACTTTTTACCTTAAAATAACACCTTCAAAATCATTTAGATGGTTTTTTGATTCCCACTCCACATCCCAAACACCTTTGTCCTAACTTTAGAGAACAGTTAAGGACAAATGTAGAATGAGAGAGATTACCTTCACTTAGCAGCTGTAGAAGCTTGAAGTCAGCCAGCACAGGGGATTGGGGGGGGGGGGGGGTCAGCAGCAGCACTATATCTAACCTGTGTAACGGCAGCAACAGAAAGTTTGCTGATCCAGCGGGGAGTTGGGGCGGTCCGGAATCAGATCCCTGGCGCTGGCTTTTGTGCTAGTTGAATTCAAGTTGCTACAAATACTAACTAAAGATCTGTATTTACAACAGCGATGTACCAAACCGAAACTGTAGCAGCGCCAAATCTCAAAAATACCAAATCTTTTATAATGATGCTTTAACTCATTTTAGTCATTTTTTTCTCAACTATGCAACTTTATTCTTTGTTGCTGTTTGACCTCATTTCATTGTTCGTCTACCTCTCCTCTCTCCAGGAGCTGACAGATGAGCGTCCAGTGCCCGTCTTTCTGTTCTGCTCTAACAGGATGGGACAGTTTGACAATATTGCAGACTTTCTGACCAGAGAGGGCCTCGCCCTCAAGGAAAGGAAGCAAAGGTATGTGTGTGTGTGTCTGTGTCCGCGTGTGTGTGTGAGACAGATGTATGGAAGTAAGTGTGTTTGTATGTGATTATTAGGATTCATAACCCTTAAATACCACAAGCAGCTTTTCTTTTCTTTTATCCATACATCTCTCTCTTTGGTATTTCAGAAGCTTGAAAATAAAAAAAAAATACAGATGCAGTAACATCTTAAATTCTTTGTGTTATATGTATTTTTGACTGTTATTATAATCTTCAGTTGGACTGTTTTACTCACTGCTTGTACAGTCACAAGGGTGCTGATTTGCATCGGATTTTAGAAGCTTTTCACTATACTCTCGATAGCCATTTCATTGTGCCAGTAGCAAATGACTGATACTCGGTTTTTAATCTGAAGCCAGTGTCTGTCTAATGTTAGTGGGTACCTGTTTCATCCTAAGTGTATGTCTTATTTGCAGAGATGCCGCCATTGAAAAACCCAAAGAAACTGAAGCAGAGTCTCTAGTGAGCGAAGCACCAACTGATGGTGATACAAAAAACACTCAACCACCAACTCCTCCTCTCCTGCCTCTCCCCTCCCCATCTCTCTTCACCCTGCCCAGTCCTCCAAAACCAGCCCCCCGCACTGTGATGTCTGCTGAGAAGGTGATCACACACACACACACACAAACTGTTTCTGGGCAAGAAACCATTTCTATCCTTCTGGATTCTCTGCAAATTAGGGCTGTAACAGTTAGTGCATTTGTACCAAACCATCACAGTTCGGTGCATTCAGTTGCACATTTACTCTTTTCTAGTCCTATTTGTCTTTTTATTTCACTTCATGTTCTTTTATATCTCGTCCTAATGCCTTTAATGTCTCATGTCAAGCACTTTGCATCACTCTGTTGTTGAAAGGTCTGAGACAAAAGGTTTTATTGCATTGGCTTTCCTGTGTGTGCAGGTTAATACTCCGCCTTACTGCCCTCCAGAGCTGCCGTGCCCTGGTCACATCCAGATATGTGTTTCTGCCATCGGAGAGGACGGTCTCATTTACACCAGAACACAGAACGCAGGTGCACATAAGAGCCCATCCTCACTGGGATAAAGCTAACATTAACTTGTTTATTTGAATACTACATACATCATTTTCTTAAGCTAATGGCATGAGACTTGCTTTGGTGTTTTAATTCTCTTGCTCTCTCTTATAACTCTCTCTCTCAGACACAAAAAAGATACTCGCAAACATATGTCACAAACAATCCAAACGACTCTCTCCTGGGCCATGGTGTGTGTTTTTGTGTCTCCAGACTGCAAGCTTTCAGTTGCATTTTGCAACCATGGAGCACCAGTGTGACTTAATAATATTATTAATATATGAACTGGAGAGCTGTTAGTTTGTTTCCCACTCACAGTGAATATATCCTCACATTTAACAGTTTAACTTTACGGTAACTGCTAGCACCTGTTGACTGGAAGCTTCAATTTCACAGTAAAAACATCAACACTTCCAGCCCGAGTCAAGCCAGGTGTTTCAAAATAAAAGCACCTGTGGTTCCGCTTTGATTTATTTAATTATAACAGTGCTTTATTTAACTTTATTGTATCAATACTTTATTCAACTTCACTGTAACAGCACTGTATTTAACTTAATCTTAACAGTGGTTTATTTAGTAGTAAAGTAGTCTGTAGTAGTTTAGGGGAGATTTAAGATATAGATCACGACTTGTATCTGCTCGAACATCAGTGTCACCATGTTTTGTTTTGTTTTTCCTGACTTTCAATTCAGAGAGGAACATTTTAGATGAAAAACAGGATCTAAAGTAATGTTTGCTGTTTATATATGTGTGTCAGAGTGTCAGCTGGAGCAGCTGAGGGAGAGGATTCATCAGAGCATAAAGACTTTGCCCAGACCGAGGCCCTACACCTGGAAGTCAGTCTTTGGCTGCGCCGTCATCGGACCTGATATGTTGTGGTATCGAGGACAGCTGCTGGAGGTGCTGGGAGGACACGTTAAGGTCAGAAAGACCTTAGATTCACCAACCAATAAACAACACAGATAAATTACACTTGTAAATCAAAGATATGCTATCAAACACACCATATTCTAAACTTAACACACATGAGGCAAATTCAAAGCTTCTCCTGCTGATACAGTTAAACATCTCTGATATGTTCTTTCTAATGCTCTGTGTTTGTGTGTAACCAGGTCCAATATGTGGACTACGGCCTGGTGGAGAACATCCCAGTGGTCCATGTGTACCCCATGCTGCTGTGTGACGATGTTCCTCAGCTCTGTATGCCCTGCCAGCTGCACGGCATCAACCCGGTAAGAGTTTGTGTGTGTTTTGGTGCGTCCATGAGTTATTTAATACACAGAAAAACCTCCCCCCAAAAACCCACCACAGTAGTCTCAACTCAAAGCTCCACTCACAGAGGGGTGTTGCTCAGTGAATGAAGATGGAGCTCTAAAGAATGTTTCTCTAAATAAAGATCTTACACAGTGTTTATAAAAATGTATTTCTATTTTTAAATCTATAATTATTTGAATGATCTTCTCTGCCTCTTCAGATTGGTGGGAGGTGGCAGCGGGATGCGTTGGCCTTGCTGAGGGAGTTATTGATGAACCGCTGTGTGGACATGCAAGTCATGGTACACTTACACTCAGTACCTTTTTATGGTATCACACCTAAATAAATGTACTGTCAGCTGTGTGTATATGCATAGGACACAGCCCTAAATAGTTGTTTTAGCTGTCACTCCTCAACCACTGAGGTAGTTGGTGACCCCTAGTGTGTATTTGTGTGTGTTGTGTGGTAGGAGCTGCCGACTGACCCGAGGGGACCCCTTAAAGTTGAGCTCTTTCTGGACGAGATGAGCCTCAGCAGGATTATGTGTCACCACGATCACGGCTCCATGGACCCGACTGTCTTGGCACAGAAGGTCTGAGTGTACGCTAGTGATGTTTTCTGGTTCCCAGGAGGAATCAGTGCTGCTGTAACTCGCTCTGTGTTTATCTGCAGGGACACTCTGTGATGTCTCCCGCCCTCCTCCTGGACGACTGGGACATGGACATTGAGGTACTGTAGTTCAAATAAAGATTGGAATATTGATTTTAAGAACAGTCTTTTCATTTGACTTGAACCACTCACTGCAGAGGGAGTAAATCTGAACACAACTGATGTGTCTCCAGGATCTGAAGAGTCCAGAGGAGCCGATACTGGGGCCCTTTGTCTACCCAGAGCTGCCACAGGAGAGAGAGAAGTTTCCAGTCAGGGTGAAACACCTGCGGACCCCCAACGAGGTAACAGCCAGCCACAGAGATAATATTATATATAAAAAAAATCTGATGTACTTGCTGTTGTACCAGTGACTTAAGTACTGATGATATAATGCTGTTCAAATGATTTGAGGTGAAGAAAATTGAGTCAGTTTAGTAAAGGATTAGGGCTGTACAATAACTTGCACAATAAACACAACCTGAAACACTGCGATACTGCACTCAGGGATGTTTTGAGTTAGTTGAAATGAATGAGTGAGGGATCTTTACTGTCACTGTTTGGCAAAATATTTACTGGACATGTCAATGAAGCCTAACTTGACTTTCACAGACATGAAAGTAAACTACATCTTGGCTGGTTGGTTGAGTTATTCACTATTGTTGATGTTCTCTATGGTTAAGCATTAACTCTTAATGAATGAAGCTGAACTGATGTTAAAACAGTTTTGCTGAGAAGAGATTGATCTGTATCCGTCTGTCTGTCCTGCAGCTCTTCCTGTGGCCTTTGGAGGGAACAGCTGATGTGGAGGTGGACGGAGAGACTCTGCATGAGGCTCTGAGCAGAATCAATGAAGACATCAACGGTCTGCCACGACTCACAAACTTTCGTCACGGTAACATTTCACTGCCTGTGTTTCTGATAATGAACGGGGCTTTACGAAATACTTTTATACTTGGTTAACATAATATTTATTTACAAAAATGAGCAGGTGACAAATTTAAAATGTTTCTGAAATGTATGCACATATTTAAAGGAGCTATATGTAAGAAATATAAAGCAAATAGTCATAAAATCCTCCTAATATGTCACAGAGACTAAGGAATAATGTTCATATAACATACTGATCTCACCGACAACAATAGTACAGCCAGAATATTCGCATTAAAAAAAATATTTTGCGGTCCGCAAATCATGTTTATGTTTTGAATTTGTGTTTTGGCCTGTTGCGCCACCCACCGCCGTCTACCAGTCACACAGTCAGTAGAGTCTCAGCATCAGTTACAGTTACGACTGAGCTACAGCAGCATGGCAAGCAGCATTAGCAGTGTCCCAGTACATAGCATGAGCAGCCGGCTCCTCCTCAGCTGTATCCAGGCAGCAGCGTTCGCAGCAGAGAAGCCGGACTTGCTCGAATGGTCCGCTGGAAAACCGAAGATCAAAGACGCGGCGACACGGCCCTGCCACGGCAGCCGCCCATGGGCAAACAAATCAGTCTCCAGCGTGCCGCTGTCCAGCAACCTCGAATCTGTAGGGGAGGGGGGGCGGACACGACTCGCGGCAGTATTTTGAATTTGAGTGCAGTAACCGTTTTGGCCACATTCTTACATACAGCGCCTTTAATTTGAATGCTGTTTCATTTTAAATGTTAAAATGGTCGATCAGTCTCTGAAGATTCTGCTGTGATTCATTCGCGTACTAATGTGTAGGGCTGACCCAAAAAATTCGAAGCTTCGTTTGATGGCACGGGATTCGATTGTGAAAAAAAAAATTCTAAGCTTCACCGCTTTTTTTCCCGTTTTTTGGGGGGAGGCCTTAAACGCAACACTAACCCCCACCAGTCCGATACTGACAGCGAGTGCACTCAGAGCTGGCAGACGTGTCCAAGAGGTCATCAGATGTGTGGTTGTACTTTAATATGCCCCGACAACCCCCAGAAAGCAGAGTGCCAGATTTGCCAAAAGCAATTGGCATATCACAACTCAACAACAATTTTGGGAAATCACTTGAAAAACCTAAGTAGTAATTTAAAAAGAAAAAATCTCCGACAAGGAAATAGAAAGCCCGACGCACAATGGAGACCTGCTATTATCCTGCTTGAACACAGACGACTAAATTCTTTCAACAATGTGACTCAAAATAATGATAAAATAGATTTTATTGATGTAAAATATGCATTTTCCATTTCCACCAGTCCACTCTGAGTCTGGTGTCAGAGACACTTCTGATGCTCTGAGTTGCGCATCTGTTTGATTGTGCTGCAGTATGCGCCGAGGGTTTTAATTTAGTGTTCAATCAAAAGTTAAACACTATTGATCACCGACCATTAGTGTTTTTTCATTTGTGAATATTTTTATCTTAATTCTAGTGTTGGAAGAAACTACGTTTTTGCCATAATTTGTTTTGTTGGGTTTTTTTTTTTGTTACTGTCACTAGACAGCAACAGACAGTCCCTGGAGTCACAGACATTTCTCTGCAGTGTCCAGTAACTTCTTTGACTTTATGCTTTTGGTTTGCAGGCAACCCGTGTCTGGCAGAGTACAGTGACGGGCTTTACTACCGGGCCAAGGTGATAAAGTTTACCAGCACGGAGCCTGTGATGATCATGGTGCAACATATCGACTTTGGCTCTGACGACACTCTGCCCACCAGCAAGTATGACCTCCACACACACTTCAGATAACAGACTGGAGTTAAACTTTTTTTAACTACACTGAATTAACAACACTAACATTTTACTGCTAACAGCTCTGTGGATATTATTATCAGCATTATTATCTTCCACTGGTCAGTACATGTAAAACCGATGGAGAATTTGTGTTTGTGTTTATATATATATGTAAAAGTTGAGACTGGATATTGGGTATCCCGTAAATAAACTCAGAGCTTGAGAACGTGTTTGTTTCCTCCAGATACTTTAAAACCCTTTGAATGTGGCTATTCAGCAGGTGTGTTATTCTGTCACTTCCTGTCAGGCTGCGTCAGATGCCAGCTGAGCTGTTGCAGTTTCCATCGCGGGCCCTCAAGGTGAAAGTCGCCGGCTTTAAGGCTCCAAGTGTCAACAGGCAGGAAAGCGTGCTGCCCTACAGCCCCAGCTGGAGCGTGAAGGCTGTAGTGGACATGATCGACCTGTTACACAGCAACATCACGGCCTCTGTTGTGGTAAGAGATGCAGCGTGACTGTTACATAGAGCTGTCATCATGTGTCTGTTACTGAACCTGGAGTGATAGTAATTTAAAGGTGCCCGTGCAGATCCGACGCACACCTATAAATCAGCCTTGACTCACCAGAGTGTGCTTACTGTATATCCTTCCTCATCAGACATTATCAGAACTGATTTTTTTTTTCCTATATGTTTGAAACCTGTATTGTTTACATCTGTTTTCTAGCTTGCGGTCTTCTTCACTGCCTGCACATTCTTTATGTATTATCACCACCTGCAGGAGAGCTCCTTTTCAGTATCTTACACCCTTCATGTGCTCTTCTTGTTGTCTGTTCAGGCTCAGGAACCGGAGCTCACGGTGCTGCTGTACAACGAGAACGATGAGCTGGTCCATCTGCCTCTGGTGATCAGTGGACTGGCTGAGCTCGAGTGAAGCAGAGTGGAGACAGACTCCCAACCCACATGCAAGTCTTCAGCTTTATTTCAAGCCTTATTTTTAACCATTGAGCTCTTGATCAGAAAATGTCAATGACTGTTTGTGTTATTGTTTGATAGCACAGTAAATATCAGTTCAACAATGTCAGGTTGTGTTGTCAATGTGCTAACTAGTGTCAAACCCTTCTAGCTGATCCTAAGGTTTCCTTTTTTAATGAGGAATACAGTCTACTGCCACCTGCTGGTGTGGAGAGTTATGTCCTCTCACACAGGCACAGAAAGTACGTGCTAGTTTGCGGTCGGCTGTAGTCTTTGTGGTGTGTTCATGTGCAACCTTTTGGCCAAGAAACAGGCAATATGAGGCAGTGTAACAGTCGGCCTTCATCGCTGCTAGTTCTTTGATGTAGATTTGGTCTGTTTGGGCCTTTTGACATTGCATACTTTACGTCCTTTGATTTTTTTGAATACATTTCCTGTCTCATCTTTCTCCAGGTCTACTGGTGGACGTCATGTTTTGTTAACATCTTGATTTGACTTTGTCGTGCTGTTCTTAGTTTTTACATGTTCTGGAGAAATTGCAGTGGTTTTTGCTTTCACAGTGACACTGTAGAGCAGGGATTTATTTTCAGTTTGGCTGTTGTGTAAGTGAGCCGTGTTGACTTGGCACTTTGATTTCTGGTTGTTTGACTCGTGTGAGACGGGTTTGTCTGTATGAAGGTGCAGATTAAAGTCTTTCAGTGTTGTCTAACCTCTCTGCAGTGTTTTCATTGTAAATAAATACTTTAGCTCATCTGGTTAAGATGTCAGGACACGCAGGGTTACAATTCAACAATTAAAGATACGCAAAAAAAGATAAAATTTATTTTACAAAACATACAGCTAAGAAAATAAATATGTATTTAACATTTTTACAAATTAAAATTGTAAACACTTAAAAACACTTCACACACACTGAAGCCGTTCAGCTTCAAACTGCTACACGGCTTGTTTCAGTACATCATTTCATTCTCCCCAAATGTAAACATTATGTGTTATTGCCAAAATATTTGGATTCATAAGACTGTGAATGAAGTTTGGTGGTTGATCATAAGCCAGAAGTATCCTGGCACAAACAAATTTGTCAAGACTAAAGAACACAAAACGTCCTTCACATCACTGAAACATTTAAGGTGTCCTGCAGACTGAGTTCCTGTTTACAAAACTGACTGAGTGCGTCTTTGAGGTAAATAAATAAAAAAGTAATAATTAAAACGGTATTTAAAAGGCTTATGACTTCTTGGACTCACTCACTGTGGACTATCAGCTGTAGCATTGCCTCAGATTTTAGCAACACACTTTGTAGTCGTACTGAAATTAGCCTGGATCCCAAAAAAATCTCATGTGCTTGGAGACAGTGTGTCTACGCCCTGTTGTCCACGATGACGTTGCCATCTTTGTCTTTGATTCTGAGCCGTCCGGTGGGGTAGCGGGTCTCCTGCCTGCCGTCTGTGTAAACGGTCTTCACGGTGCCGTCTGGATACTCCCTCCTCTTGTAGTCGGCCGTGTGGATCTCCTTCTGGCCAGTGTTGAAATGGATCTCCTTGGTGCCGTCCCTGAGAGAGGCAGTTAGTGTTGTGTTGTAGTGATTATGTGTACCCAACACCAGATGTACAGTTTTCACCGTAGATGTTTGGTTGAACAGTTGCTGGCTTTACTTACGGGTTGACTTGTATGATGGTCCCGTCCGTCAGCACGCTCTCCTCCCTGCCGTTAGGGAACAGGTTCTTCACCGTCTGGTCTGGGAAGGTGATTTCTTTACGGCCGTCTGGGAAATGTTTTTCTGGAGCAGAAATAAAATCTATTAATGTACAGTTTCAGTGTGATCATAACTAAGCTTCTGTCTATGATTGATGGTGGGACGCCCTAAAAACTTTGTATTTCACCAGGAGCAGTGCCTAAAGGCTGAGTTATAGTTGTGAGCATTGATACTTGTGTAGTGGTGTGTCTGGCACAAGCCTGTTTGATAACAGATTTTACTGCCTGGGGCCTGTTGCACAAAAGTAGAATTCAGACATCCAGGATAAATGACTGAGCTGGGTTCAACGAATCCAAAACAAGAACGTCCAGGCTTAATTGGCTGCACAAAGACCAAGCCAGGATGAGCAGACACGGATTCATCAAGCCAGGTGAAACCAATCCTGGATCAGTGCGCGCACGCAGCTTCCTCAAATAGACCCCGCCATCGATCACAGATTCACCGATTCACCATGGCAACGAGAGCAGCGTACTTTACCCCGTCAGAGGCAGAAATCCTCATGGAGGCTTACGAAGAGGTAAAGGATCAAATCATAAAGAAAGGCAACACCGTCACAGTTATAAAACAACGAGAGAAAGCGTTGCAAAGTTGCAGATGGCCTGAATGCGTAAGTAGTGCACAAATACACACTCACTACTCCGCGGAAACCATCACAATTACAATCCAAATAGTTAATTAACATCTCCGAAAACGTAGTTGTACTCTGATTATGAATCAGTTGAAATTGTAACTGAAATTGACTGCAGATGTGAGTGAAATTGTGTAAATGTAACTCCATCAGACTGTTTAACTCTTTGATAAAGAGATGAGCTCACTGACGTAATTGAATTTCCCTTTGGGATAAATAAAGTTCCTCTTATCTTATCTTATGTTTGCTCCTCATGCTCCATGTGTATGCTGATTGATCATAAGAATATATA